ACTGACCTGCCTCAACCACAAATTTGTTAAGACTTCACAAACTGTGAACACAAAAAAATATATAATAAAAATGTATACAATACAGTCAAATACAATAAAAAACATTTTGTTTAGACTACACAAAACAGTAACCAAAGTGGGGATAAAGCAAAAAAAAAAAGCGCTGAAATTAAATTAAATAAATAAACAAAATGAAATCAAATAAAATTATTTTCAAAAACGCCTACATAAGACATTCAACTCAAAAGAGAAATGAGATGTTTAAATCAACTACTGCTAGACAGATTAGTCAACACTTTGGTGTTTTTTATTTTGAGTTATTTAAGATTAATAATGAGACAAATATGTTTGAGAACTGAGCAAAGGAAAAGGCGCTAAATAGACACCCACTTATTTTGCTGTAGACGTCTGTGCAGTGGCTACAAATACCAGGGATTTGAACTAACAAGTTGTTGATGAATTTCAGCAACAAGTGATGTGAAATAATTTTGCAATTGATTGAAATGTCTGATAATTTTTTGCAACTTTTTAAGATTCATCATAAAAATCTCCCTTTTGATTTTTGTTGTTTTTGTTTTCTTCTAGTCTTTATAAAAGTAAATACGTGCCAAATAGCTGGTCAACAGTTTGTTTAGGGGATTTGCTTAATTGTTATGCATTAGTTTTACAATTCCATTCATTAAGCTATAAGAAAAAACAAATATATACATATGATTCAATATTATTAACCCTTTTAAAGCCAATTTTATTTCAAATGCCGAGCTTTTGGGTAAAATTATGCAAAAATGTTAAAGCTTTTTATAACGTACAAGCTTTTAGAGATTTTTCTTATAATATTTAGTAAAAATAAGATTATCTAAAGGGAAACGAACCCACAACCGCCTGACTAATAGAACATAAACGTTTTCATGAAAATTTGATAAAATTTAGTTTTTTGTATCATACAATATTTGTGAAATGCTAATTATAATCGTTCTATTAGTTAACAATATAATCTCTTAGAAGTATTATCTAACGAAAAGCGTCCAACATTTGTTATCACTAAATAACACCTGTATAGCAACCAAACACAAACAAATTATGTTTGAAACAAACAGCGGAAGGAAACGGGTTAACATAAACGAAAAAAATCACTGATAGCTTTGCGGTGGGTATGAACTAGACACACACACAAAAAAAAATAACAATAATTTAAAAAACAAAAACAAAATACTTGTTTGTGTTGATAAAAAGCGGAAATTTTTGGCGCAAGCATTTTTAAATAACTCTTGTGACTAATCGTTATTTCGGATGAATTTCATAAAAATTGGTAATTATTGGCAAAATGCGAGAGTTTCCCACACACAACAACAAAAACCATAAGCAAACAGCAAAAAAACGAAGACGAAGACCAAAGCAACGAAACTCAGACATAAAACTTATCAGACAAACAATAACAAATATAAAAAAGCAACAACAAAACCTTTAAAAGTTTATGGATATACCCAGCAAAAACTTGTTAATGGCTATAAGCACTTACCTATTAACATACTTCTCAATGACTACTGCATATCTTGCTGATTACGTAGAAGTAGTCTAATAACCTCTTATATAAATACTTTCTAATTCATTAGTCATCTCTTTTAAGCTTTAGAAGCTGTATAAGTTTCTAATTACTAGTAAGCGATGACATCACTATGTTAAAATAATGACTTAAAATGTTAATGTGTAAATAAATGTTAAGCCCTTACTTATAATGAAAGTTTTTGCGGGGCGATACTTTACAAGCTCTCATTTTAAAATCAATTTAACACAATCAATGACAACAAACAACACATCGCCCTTTCTCCACAACCCCCCACCCCCCACAATGATAAAAAAGCTGATAATATTATCATTTAAAATAAGCATGGGTTTGATAAAAAAAACCACAATAAATAAAAAAAGCTTTCGCTCTCACTTTTCATAAGCAATGTACATACATATAGCTTCATTTTACTTTAGCTTTAGTCGCGTGCTTATTCATGTTAAAGCAAAAACAACAAATACATTTACACGAGTATTTCATATAACTGTTATTTAAGCTCTTTTTCTCATTCTCTCATTATACAGTATTTGCATAAAGTCAACGAACCTATTTATTATTAGTTGGTTGTTGTTGTTGTTTTTCTAAAAAATGGTCCTTCACCCTTTTGTTTTGCTTCCCCTAGTTTTTATAATGGAAAGAAAAGCTTTTTATCTATTAAAACTAGTTCAATGTTTATGTGTTTTAGAGAGAGGGAGAGGCCTAGTTTTAGTTTATTATTACTACACTTGAACTTGATTTTTGTACACTTAAACAAAAATTGATGACGTATGTAGTGTTGAGTCTGTTTTGTTGGTTTGCTTTTCTGCTATGAGTAATCAATTATTGTAGGATGCAATTTGAGATGAGAAATTATTAAATTGATGATATTTGCATGTGGCTAAAATACAAGACCAAAGCAATAAAGTGATGTCATGTCTACAAGAATAATTGATCATCATGATGATTTGTTTTTTTTTTTTAATAAATGTGGTCTTTATTAACAGATATAAAGATTTATAAAAGTATATTTAAATATAGAGCAATTAATGAGTGGTGGCACACTTGAAAAGTAGAGTTTACACTCGAAGAAATTTTAATAGCAAAGGAATGTTAAAGGGGAAATCTTACTTGATCTTTAAAATTGCCCAAAAATTAATAATTTCTATTCTACTCAAATATCAAACGAAATTCAAAATGTTTTTATTTACCTCTTCTATAGATACGTTGTTTGACACGCCCTCTTTTTAGGGCGTGGAAAAAGTCAATTATTGTAAAAGTTCTACAAATAAGGGATGATAGAACTGTGATTAAAACTTTCCATTTTCAGTAGCAGTTCTAGTTAATACAATTACTATAAACTAACATATTTTGCTATAATAAACAAACTTCTAAATATAGACAACTAATTTTATATAGAATATTAAAAACTCTTGAGATTTTTTCCTTATTTTAACATCACAAGTCAACAACCCACATTCAAACTTAACAATTTACTAAACCATTGCCTTTTTTGACTAACTATTAATCATATTAAACTATTTGATGATTTGTGATTGGTTATTAAAAAGATGTTACCAAATAATATTCTCTCAATATGTATCTACTCCTACAACTAAGAAAAAACTACTTGCAACCCAAAAAATATATATCTTACCAATAGAAGGTCTACTAAACCCACACTAAGCAAGTGTGTTATACCGACAGATAGTCGTTGCTAAGAAAAACCATAGAAAAGTCATGAAAAAACCCACAAAATTTTATAACAAAAAACAAAAAGGGAAAAACTCTTAAATGTTTTACAACATTTTTTACAAGAGATTAAGCAAAATAATATGCTCAATTATTTGTTTGTATTGCTCATAATCAAATAGAAATTACAAAAATTACTCAAATTGAGTAAATTATGCGTAAATACTCTTACAAACTGTAGCTCGATGGCAATCATTCATGGCATTGGTTCGTTCCTTTTCAATTTGGAGGAGAACTGAAAATTAGTTTCAAACGTAATGGTGTTCAAAATAGTTTAATGTTGACTTTGGGAATAAAATTTTCAGTAATGTTTGTAACTTGCTACAAAATAAACCGTGGAGTTTTGAAAAAAGTGAGTTTCTTTAAATGGATAAGTTTTGTAAAAGTTCAAGAAGTTCTAACTGGAACTAGAGATATTTCTGAAAAAAGGACTACGACAAAGTGATAAAAAAGTGACTGTTTGTTGTTTAGTGACCCTCTCCTAGTCTATGTCCACGTTAAACTAGCAGAAGCCTATAGAACTGGTCACAGGACCACAGTCCAGTAGTATTTCAGTTATATTGAAATACTACTGGACTACTTTTAATCCAATAATAGTGTCATTATTTTATATCCAAATGGAAGGACGTGAAGAGAAATGGATTTCAGCTACCCTCTTCTAGTCCTTATAAAACTGACAATTTTTTCATAGAAAATATTCGAACTATAACCGGTCTCTATTTCCGAAGAAACTTTTCTAGTATTACTTCATCTATATCAATTCCATAAAGATTCAGAAATGGTTTTATCGATGAAATAACTCTTTTAGAAATTTATTACAAATCATTCAAACAAACTTTTGACGACAAAAAAACAAAAAAGTCCAAAAGTGACAAAAATGTAAAGATTTTGCATTATATTTTGAAAAATATGGTTCCAATTTTAACCAATATTTTGAAGATGTATTCTAAAGAGGATTGGTTCTACATATAAAGTGTCAATTTATACCCTCTTAACTCAACTTCCAAAGAACCAAACAAAAAACTAGTTCTGTATCAGTTCAGGGTAACAAGTAACCTTCAAACTTCTTAAAGATAATATGTTCTAAAAGTATTTCTTAAACAGGTCCTCGTATTTCCCAACCACAATAAAACTTAAGAGAAAAAGAAGTGAATGTAATTCATTTTTGTTGCTCGTTCTTGAGCACTAACACTTGTTGTGGTGGTTGAACATACACACACACACACAAAACACTTTAAGCCTGCAACATATTAAATGCCACCATTGTGTGGCCGATTAAATGCACCAGCATAAACACCAAAAGAATAACAACATAATATAGTTTACAACTAGTATGTTGCATTTGTAATATGGTTGTGGCAGCCAGAAACATTTGCGCTTGTGCAGTTGAAAAAAACAAGGAAAAAAATGTACTCACAGAGTTCCACGTTTGGCTCACTTAAAATGGTAATATCAGTTAAATTGTTGTTGTTGTTGCGTTTCAAACGCTTTGCCGTTTTTTTTTTGTGGCTGCTGATGAATGACGTACTCTACACGTTCGTTATTTATACGTGTAGTTTGAAATGTTTATTGTACACGAGAGTATGAGTGTTTGTGTGGTTTTAGCTCGCGCTTAATAATAAAACAACAAGAAAATTGAATATAAAATATAAAAAAAGTTTACTTTTGTCATCGCATTTGTTAGTTAAAGTTAGTTTGATTTAAACAAGCGTAAAGTTAACAACACGCTTTCGATTGTATTATTAATTATTAACACGCGACGACGAATTTTTTTTTTAAATATTAATTTTTTAATTTAAAACGAATATAAGTTTTTTTATTTAACGAACGAAACCTCTCCAAAAAGATAATATTTAAACGGATTTTAAAAACGATTTCAGAAAAAAGCAAAAGAACTTAAGCATAAGTTAACAAGCAAACAAAATTTCGGGAAACAAAAATTTGAAAACTAATCAATCGCAAATAAATAAACAACGTTATCGAAGATTAACAATAGAAATCGAAACGCGTTAATAAGTGTAAATACCATTAAACAATTAATTAAAGTTTAATTATTGACAAAACTAATTGTTTTCATTTATTTAAATTAAAAGGTATGTGTGTGTAAATATGTATGATTTTTTGTTTTTTAATTGTCGTCTGTCTTCTGGTTGTTCATACTTGTATTACGGATTAGTAATTCAGTCACCTTAAAAGATTTTTTTATATTGTTGTTTATTTAACAAATATACTTGAAATTTTAATTATTGACTTAAGTTTTGTGTTTTTTGGTTGAAATTTTATGAATTTGGTAAAGATGATTTTTGGAAGAGAAAAGATTTTTTTTGCTTTGATCTTAAAGCATAATGTGTTGAAATGAAAAGTGAGAACAGTTTTGTGTGGTACAAGATGAGAACAGTGTTTATAAAAATAAATTATTTTGTGAGCAATTATCAAATAATTTAACAAAAATTATTGAAATTTAACAAGATTTAAATGGGAACAGTTTTCTTTCTTTTTTTGGCTTGAAAGTGAGATGAGCTGAGTGTTTATAATAAGAGTTATTTGAGTGTCACTAAAACAAGTGGGAAGAGTTTTACAAGTTTATAAAATCGAAAAGATTTTGATGGGAACAGTTTTATTTGTATTAAAAGAACTATTTTAATTGTAATCAAGAAGATTCTAAAGGGAACAGTTTTTCTTTTTATTTGAAAGTAAGTTAAGAAGAGTGAAATAATTGAGAAGAGTTCAACATATTTAGAAAAATATAGAATATTTATATGGGAACAGTTTCATTGATCGACTTTGTAAAATACTTTAACTGTTTTTTTTTCTAACAAAATATTTATGTTTTAGTTATATTAAGTTGGGAACAGTTTCGAATCCACATATAATTTTTAAAATATTAGTTAAAAGTGTATAGGTGTTAGTTCTTTACTCTTTACTTCATACATTAACCACATTTTTGCCTTTAATCATCCAACAAACTTTAAAATAATTTTTACTTTTACACTTCTTTTCTTTTAGTGGATTGCATGGCAGGAACAGCAATTTTCAAGAAACAAAACAACAACAACAAAAAGGCTAATTTGAATATAACTTTACACTCTACACCAGCTAGCATATGTTGTTGTTTATGGCTCCAACAACCACAAGTTGTCGAGTCAAACAACAATAAGTGCAACACTAACGTCAAGTCTATGCAACATAATAAACACAACTACTGCCCAAACAGTAGTTGTAATACAACTGATGACAGAATTTTAACAAATTATAATTACAACTTACAAAAAACAGTGAAACAACATCAAAAACAACAACAACAGCAGTCAACAAAACAACGCCCCTTAACACTTAGTGTTGCAGTAATAATAATGTCGTTAACTATTTTATTAATACAAATGCCAACAATGGTCGAGAGTAAATCGTTTTATGTAGAATCTGCAGCATCCTCATCATCAGCTGATGATATAGCACAATCAGTAGCTGAAACATCCGCTGAATTAGAATCAAAATTATTATTATCAATGTATAACGAAGCACAAACTAGTGAACAAGATATATCCCCGCAGACACATGAATCGTCAGCAGCCAACTCTTTATCATTGGATGAATTGACTGCTGTGGAAGTTTTAAGACACATACAGCGCAGCCAACAACATCAAAGAGAACGTAGAATGCGTTTGCGCAAACGTCATGCTAGAGATTTAATTATAAGCAAATATTTGGATGAGAAAAATGGCCAGCAGTTGGAGTGGAAAAATCCCTGTAATATTGATCGTGTAGATATGGGAGCTGAACAGCCACAAATTAATAAACAACTAATGTATCAGGTGAGAAATAAAACTAATTTACATTTGAAATGAAAAGAAACTAATAATTTTTTTTCTTTTAAATATGTGTAGGTTTTAAAGAAATTCGAACGTGATGTATTGATTGAATTTGAAATTATCAATGCCACTACCAATACCATTTCGATCAGTGATATGGAACAGTGGGATCTTCATCAAGACATGTATAAATTTTTGCCTAAGCTAAAAGCCAATGGAAATGTAAGTATTTTATTTATTTTTTTTTTTAATTTCATATCAAGTTTAAGGTTAAAAAAAAAAATAGAAAACAAAACTATGAATAATTTGAATATGACACATTTAGTCAATGATCTTAGTATTTTATATATCTTTTAACCATTCAGTGATGATGATAAATTCATGTTTCATTCTGTGGGGTTTTCTAGCAGTCTGACTAATATCCAGAGAATAAAAAAATAAACCAAAACAAAACCACAATACAAAATTGAGTGTGTCAACTAGACAACATGTTCTATAGCTATAGTCTTTTGTCGTTTGGCTTTAAAGCTCTTCTTTTTTTTCCACATAAATTTTCAAGTTCAAAACTTAAACTTAATTCATGTTTACCATGCAAGATCATGTTTTGCATTATGGTTGGTTGGTTGGTGTCATGGATATCTTTTTTCAAGTGTTTTATTACCAGCAAATAAAAGTATCGTATTTTTGCCGCTTTCAAAGTTGTCAATAATAATAATAATACATAATTTGGGTGCAGTTTCAAAAACACGTGCTGTTGCATTTTAATCAGGTTTACTACATGCTGAGGTAGATGTAGTAAATAAATAGTAATAAAAAATAATAATATTTGTAATATTTATTTACTAACTTTTGCAATAGGCCACCAAAGTGTGGGGCATTATGAGGAAGTTAGTTAAACAAAAATAAAACTTTTTAAAATTGCTATTAAAATGGGGGATATACAAGTGATAAATCGTATGAAGAGTATATATAATAAATTAAAACCTTAGCACAATCTTATCATTTAATTTATTTTAACATGATTTTATCAAGTGGACTTCCCATTTTAAGACAATGAGGTTTTTCTTTATAAAAATATTTCAAGTCATAAATTAATTATTAGATTTTTATTTTAATAATGGAAGAAATGTTATTAAGTTATGATTAATTTCTGATTTTTCTCTCTATAACTCTCTATAACAGCAATGCCATTAAATAATTTATATCTAAAGAGAAGTTAATTAAGGAAATATGTTTTTTATATAAAATTGTTATATTCAAAACATTATAACTTGCAACATCTGCTAGCAATTGTTTTAAAATTTTACTTGCAAACAAAATTACTGTCTACTATTTTATGCTGCGCTAACTTGACAATCACCTCCCTCAGGGCTTCAAAGAAAAAAAAAGCTTGACAGCATGATAAACAAGTAAAGAAAAAAAACTTTTATAAAAACTGCCATTTTTATACTCACCATCTAAAAAGAATGGGTGGTATATTTATTTTGTCATTCCGTTTGTAACACATCGAAATATTGGTCAAAAGTATATATATTCTGTGTCCTTATTAAATTCTAAGACGATCTAGCCATGTCTGTCCGTACGTCCTTCCGTCCATCTGTCTGTCTGTCTGTCCGTTGAAAGCACAGTAGAGGCCGAACGGAAAGAGGTAGAGGGTTGAAGTTTTGCACAAATATTCCTTATAAGTAAGATTTGTTTGGTATTGAAAATGAGCAATATCGGTCCACGTTTTCGGATGGCCCTCATACAAGTGGACACCCGAAAAATAGCTTTAACTGTTATTACTGTTTTAAAAATACGACTATAGCAATGAAATCCGACATGATGAGGATCGGTCGATAACTGATCCTACCCCCCATTATCGGTTTCCTTTTCGTCAATGATTTGATGATGGGTATATAAGATTCGGCATGGCCGAATATTATACTCTTACTTCTTAACATTACAGCTGTTTGTTAACAGGGCTTAAATTTTAAAAGGTAGGTGGCTATAATAAACCTCTCAAGAGTAAAATAAACTAGTTTCTCTCGGGGATGCTATGTACTCAATAAAACTAAAGAAAAAAAAACAACAGGAAGATAAAAAATTAGCATAATATCAGCATAATTTAAAAACTCTCCTTTAAGAAATATTTAACAGTAACAACGATCAGTAGGCCAGCTTTAGCTGTGTATGCGTTTGTCATGTTACAAAATATATTTCAAAGATAAATCAATCAATCATTGTTAACTTTATACCGTGATTTTTTCCCATTTTCATAAAAAAGACTTGATATGAAACACTTTGTTTAACCAGAGTTTGAAAAATGTTGTTAAATTATTGTTAATTAATATTATTCTTTCTCTTTTTGTATATTTTCAGATCGCTTTAAGTCGTTGGTATCGCAATATGCAAGTATATGTGGCCTCATTTGGTCATTTGGCTCGTTTGCAATACAAATACGACATGAAAAAACGCATGTTTGCCGGAGATATCTCGGAAGAATTAAATGCTTTACTCAAAAGTGCCCGTTTTATGTTATGTGAACTGGAGAGCACTATTAATGGTTCTGCTCCCAATAATAATCTCAAGAAACTTAAGACTATTAGCCGTAAAGCCATGAATGATCGTTTGAATTTTGAGACTAGACATCATTTAAGCAATGGTCATATTGTGGAACCCTCTTCCAAAGATTTAAAATTTGCCAAATCCTCTTACTTCCAATTTTTATTAAATATGCATAAAATTTTAAATCATAAGCTACAAAATAAGGGTAAAAGATATGGCCTCACCGACAGTACGGAGGATAATTTCTCTAATACCATCATAGTGGGTGATGACAATAGTAGTTTGGATACTAATGCCATTTTCAAAAGTGATTCCAGCCTTAGTGTGGGTGAAAGTATTGAAATTCTCTTCAAAACCTCCACCACCACCAAGAAACCTCAGACTCACCGACGTCGCACTCACAAAAGGAAAAGTGCTAAATTACCAGAAGCTTAAATACCCACAATACCAAGCTTCTCCACCCCACAACAAGTTCCTAAAACAGCTAAATTCTACAGCAGCTTTCCTTAAAAGTATCAAAAAAAAGTATCCTGCTGTAAAAATGTACTTAATTTTAAACAAAGTCTAAGCCAGGTGCTCCTTTCAATCTTATTGATGCCATATTTCTCTTTACTAAAGATTGTTTGGATCATCATTTGCTTATTCATTAGCATAAATCTCTTTTATAGTTTTAAGTTTTTTTTTATGAAATTTTTCCAATTCTTCCACTTTCATCTCATTTCACTAAGCATCTATTTATTTATTTATTACCATTCCATTTTATGCTAAATTATTTATTGAAAAAAAAAAAAATCATTCCATTTCATTTGCCAGTTTGTCAAACTAGTATTAAGAACAAACGATTACTGTGATCAATATTAGATTATACTTTTTAGAATTTTTTAATTTATTTATTTATTATAATGTTTAACAAAAAAACGAAGTATTAATTAAACGAACAAATTATATATGTATGTACTATTTAGCAAGTAAGTTTATAACATTAACAATGAAAATAAGAAGATTTTATTAAATTAAGTATTTAATAAAAAAAGAAGAGAGACAAGAAAAAATGAAATTGTTTTATTTAGAAAAGAGTAGGGAAATATCTTGTCCACAATCAACTCAGAATTACTTTCTGAGTCGATTTAGCTATGTCCGTCCAACTGTCTGTGTGTCCATGTAAAGCTTGTGCGGACGCTACAGGCCGCAATTTTCAACACAGTTTGATGAAATTTGGCACGACCTAAGGACGAACACTATTGAAAATTGTTGAAATTGGTCCATTATTTCGCCTAGCCCCCCATCAAAAGTACCCCCTGAATAGGGCTTTTGAGCTCATAATTATGTTAAATGTTCCAGTATGTCAACAAAAATCTTCAAAATTTAGTTTAAGAAGTTTAAATGACATTGCCCCTTCAGCAAATGACACTATGAAATTCTACATAAATAACTTTGACGGAGACGTAAGTTCCTCTACCAACATTTATAAGAACTGGCCCATATTTACCCTCACACTCATATGAGCCCTCTTTTAAAAAATCTCTTTTTTTGTCAAAAATAATTAAGATAAAAATCAAATTAAATTAATTATTATTTAAAAAATTATCCAAATTTTTAACACACTCACTGGTATCATATAGTCGGCTATGCCCGACTATACATTCATACTTGTTTTAGATATACAATATTAAACACACAACAAGTTTATTAAAGGGCTATACCCCAGACTGAAGTCTGGACAATAATCTGAACTATATTCTACACTATAGCCAGAACTATAGTATGCAACAATAGTCTGGGTTTTCTATGTACCACAGTCTGGACTATAGACTGAACTATAAAAGTTTATTAAAGGGCTATACACCAGACTGAAGTCTCGACTATAATCCGAACTATAGTCTGAACTATAATATGCAACTATAGTCTAGGTTTTGTATGTACCACAGTCTGGACTACAGTCTGGACTATAGTCTGGACTATAGACTGAACTATAGTCTGGACTATAGACTGAACTATAGTCTGGACTATAGACTGAACTATAGTCTGGACTATAGACTGAACTATAGTCTGGACTATAGACTGAACTATAGTCTGGACTATAGACTGAACTATAGTCTGGACTATAGACTGAACTATAGTCTGAACTATAGACTGAACTATAGTCTGGACTATAGACTGAACTATAGTCTGGACTATAGACTGAACTATAGTCTGGACTATAGACTGAACTATAGTCTGGACTATAGACTGAACTATAGTCTGGACTATAGACTGAACTATAGTCTGGACTATAGACTGAACTATAGTCTGGACTATAGACTGAACTATAGTCTGGACTATAGACTGAACTATAGTCTGGACTATAGACTGAACTATAGTCTGGACTATAGACTGAACTATAGTCTGAACTATAGACTGAACTATAGTCTGGACTATAGACTGAACTATAGACTGAACTTTAGTCTGGGCTATAGCCTGAACTTTAGTCTGGGCTATAGGCCGAACTGCAGTCAGCACTATATATCGGACTACAGTCTGGATTATAGACTGAACAATAGTCTGAACTGTAGTCTAGTTTCTAGCTTGGACGATAGTCTAAAATATATTATGAACTATAGTCTATAATCAATACTAAAATATATAGTATTGATTATAGACTGAACTGTAGTATATTTTCTTGTCTAGGCTATAGTCTGAAGTACAGACTGGAATATATAATAGTTTATAGTCACTAGTAGCCTGGACTATTATCTAGGGTATAATCTGAAATATAGTCTGTAATCCATAGTGTTATATTCGGCTGTGCCGAATCTAATATGCTCACGAGCAAATCTTATTAGATATTCATGTGTTCAATTTTGTTATCATGTATTGGTATTAATATGCACATTAGGGTTATTTTCGGAGTATGGCCTTTGAGTAGGGTTTGGGTCATAAACCGATCTCTATGGTATTTAAAAAGAACAGTAATGTTAAAAATGATATCAAGTGTTTTTTTGAAGAGCACCTTATATGGGGTCTCGGATCTAATATGAACCGATTCATATGAAATTCGACACGGAGATTTGTTGAGGGCCAATTCTGTTGCCATACTGTTGTTTTCAAGGTAGTTATGAAAGTTAAAATAATTTTCTAAACGGAACATTATATGGGGTGTAGGGTATATTATCGGCGATGCTTTTATAATTAAGTAGGAGAAGTTATAAGATTAACTTAATTTTCAAAAGAGAATTTTATATGGGTAGTAGTCTCAATTATGGACCTATCCTTATAAAATTAAGTAGAAAGATTTTTGTTTCTATAAAAATTGCAATACTAGTTATAAGCTTTACCCCCATTTACACCACCTATAGTTATCGTTATTCTTCCAGTTAAGACAATTTCTGTGTGAAAACTGTCAATATATCTTTTAGTTAAAAAGTAACTAGACATTGTGCATATGGGGACTAATTTCATTTAACTATTTAAGGGGACCTTATAAGGGGTGTAGGATTAAGTATAAAGTAAAGGGGATCTTATATGAGAGGTAGGGTGTATGAGGAGATCAAATATGGTCCGATTCTCATAAAATTAAGTAGGTACAAAGATTTTTGTTCCTATAAAACATTGCAATACTGGTACTTTTAGGCCAGTAATTTTCTGACTGGGCCTTTCTATCGGGGTGGAGTCAGTTATAGGTTAATGTCACCCATATTTTACATAATAGTTTATGGGTACTTAAAACTAACATGAGCAAAATTTCATTACATTTTTTGCCAAATTAACGATTTAAGAAATACTCAGGGGGTTGTGTGGGGGTTATGTGAAACCTTGGACCGATATTGGATCGGATTTTGGATTTTCAATATAAAACTTTTCTGGTCATTATAAAATATTTTAGAAAAATTTAATTTCGGTCCTTATCGTTTCTTAAGAATACATATAATCTCATCGATTGTGATAAAACTAAGCTTAGAAAAATATTACCTTTTAGACCTTATTAAGCACTCAGTTCACAATTAGACCTTATTAAGTGCTCATTTTACAATCTTGTAAATATCTAGAAATTTTTTAATTTATGTTATCTTATCGTTAAAAAATAAATCCTTTAGCTTAACTTGTTGCACTAGCAATTTATTCCACTATTAAAAATTAAAAATCATTCTACCAATAAAATTATTTTCATATAATACTAGCAGGTGTCAGACATCTAGCCAATCAGCCAATAATGTAAAATAGACAATTTCCAATCTAAATAAGCCACAATTAAATAACAGTTTCCGGTAAAGGAAACGTCTTGTTGTAAATTATTTAAACAATTTATTAATATAAAAATTACAAAATTCTCCATTCATTATTTTTTATTATTTTTTAATTGTTTATATACTGTTTCTTTAAATATGTGGTAGACCTAAATGACTCAATTTAATAAAATTCCAATATGAATCAATAAATATTCTATATGATATTAAAAAGATTATTAAACACTTATTAAGTAATTGAAACAAAATATTTTGTAGACAAATAATTTAGTAATAAAACAAATTGGAAAAAATAACAATAATAATTCACATGACTGATAAAATTACATTATTGCTTTTTCTTATTGAGGTTCAGGTGTCTTAAACCTTAAGTAAATAATTTAATTGCTATGGTTTTAAAGTGATTTATAAGTAATTGTTAAATACCCTACAGTTAATAAATATATTAGATACACATTTAGTAAACCATGTATAAAAATTCGTTCATGGATTCAAAACTAACCGAAAAAAGAATTTTAATGAATTTTTTAAAGAAAAAAACTTGCTCCATGAATCTCATGAACATTTTTTTGTATGAAATTTGCATAAATTTTACATATAGTACTTATTTATCAAATATTCTTAACCAAGTGAGAATTATAAAGATTCATTTTATTAATAAAAAATTAACAATTATAAAGTAAGCAATTGACAATGAAAATCAAAATAACTCACTCAAAACTTTCATTACAAAGTAAGGTGTTAAAATGCTAATATTCACTTACACAAGAGCATTCTAAGTCATTATTTTGACACTGAAGGCAAGTAAGTGGTTACAATTGAAAGGCATAACCAACTTTTTTGCCAAGAATTTTATACATGAAATGATCAAATGATTTCAACAAATTTTGTGAAACCCCAAGAAGTTATCAGTATTTTATAACAGGGTTTAAACTATAGGCATTATAACCCATAAATAATTTAGACACAAGTATTGTTATATAAGCATTTAAAAATAGTTTACGAAAATAAATTGTATTTCAAATTAAGTAAATAGTTATAACAAATTAGTTAAACAATTTTATTTAAGTTTTTTATGAAGACGTATTTTCCGGCGTTACAAACACTTGAGTCAAAATAACTCTGCCATAAAGTGGATGTAATAGCTTGACTATATCAAATATCAAGTAATAAAAAACAGTAAAAATTTATGAATGAATGAAAAAGTACACTTTTTGCCAATATATATTTTTTTGATAAGAAAATGTTAAGATTATTGGTTTTTGAAAAGTTATAAGAGCAACTACCTGTAATTATTGACTGTATTATTAATTACAAAGGTATTTAGGTAGACGTGTGTCTTTAAAATGTTTCAAGTGTCTTCTACTTCAAACAAAAAGGAGTCAATAAATTGTTTATTTAGATATAAACATTTACCAGTTAGATAAAGTTATAAAATGGTATTATAAATTAACTATATAAATAATAAACCAATTAATTTAAAACTTGAAATAGAAAATGAAACCCATTAAAGCAGTAAAAGCATGTAATTTCAATATTGTTTATCAGTAACAAAATACTAGGAGATTTTATTCAATTACATACATATAGATACAAGTATAAAGTTCCATTTAAAAAATAGCGTCATGAATTTACTCCCTAAAATCAAAAATATTTTGGAGAGTTATTTCTTCATTTCCAAGGATTTTCTGCTCTGGGGTATATCGAACAAGAGCTTTGCTAAAAATTCACTCTGCGCATATCAAGAGCTCCTTAGCTTTTCGTAAAAATAGCTACTTCACAGAATTAAAAAAA